TAAAATGCGGCAGATGTGGCACTGTATCAGTTCCAAGTCTAGCCTTTAATAGGATTAGCAGCTCCCACTTCTTTCTTTTGAAAGTCAGTATACATGTACAGAGTTCAACTACCCTGATATCACCATGCTTGTGAGAAGCCCAACTTAGCCACATGGAATGAGAGATGCCAAGTGAAGAACATTAAGGTGTCAGAGTGAAACGTTCTTGGATCTCCCATCCACTTATCAGCTGAAGCCAGACAAATGACCCCAGCCAACAGCAAACACAGGAGCCTCAGACATGTGAACCCAGTCAAGCTGTTCCAGCCAGCTCACAACTGATTCAGGCCATCCCAGTTGGGACCCTTGATGCTGTGGAGCAGAGACAAGCCAGCCCAGTGTTCCCTGTTCTGAATTCCTGACGTGGAATTATGAGCAAAAGAAAATGATTGTTGTTTTATGCTATTGAGTTTTGAGATGGTTTCTTATTTAGCTTTAGATAACTGAAACAAACACTGGTACCTTAATGTAGGAAACTGCCATAATAAAAACCCCAAATGTGTGACATTTGTTCTGGGACCAGGCAGAGGATGGAAGCTGGAAGGGACCCAAGGAGACAATTAGTGAAGTCTGGAAAGCAGAGAGGAAATTCTTCTTAAAAGCTGGAAAAAAGTGACTCTGGTTATGTAATGGTGGGAAGTATGGTCACTGTCACCTTAGTAACATAGGAAATAGAAGATGTACCTAATGAACTTGTGGATTTAGCTAAGGAAACTTTCAGGGAGAATCCTGAAAGTGCCAACTTGCTTCTTTTAGCTGCATATGATCAGATAAGGACAGAAGGAGATAAATAAAGAAGTGTCCAGTTTTCAAGCAGAATGTAGAGGAAATATTTTAGAGCCAGGACTTGCTGAGTTTGAAAATAAAACTATTTCTCAACAATAATCTCTCACAGTAAAAAATATTCAGAGGAAGAAATAATGTCAGGGGCAAAGATCAAATCCAATGTGCTATCAGTAAAATGTGGTTTCACGGTCAAGATCTCAAGGAGGCAGCTCTAAGACCATTTGTTAAAAGTTTAGAAATATTTTAGGAGATCTTTACAGATGCTCTCAGCTAAGCAGAATGACTTCTAAGAATCTCAAGTTGTGCCTCTTGGAACCTATCTGCTAGAGTCTAGAGGGGTAAGTATATTAAGGGCTCTCTCCCAAAGAATCATGACTCTGCCAAAGTAGAGAAGAACTGTCTTGAGATTTGCTGGAATGTCTTTTACTTAATGGAATAGATTGTAATTTGATAAACAGGAATCCCACATTGTATTTAAGGGAATAATAACATGAATGGAAAGAAACACAGACAGTTCAAAACAAAAAGAAGCCTTTGAACATGTGGGAAGCAGGCTGAGAAAGCTCAACTGTAAACACAGCTATTTTTTATGAAAAAGTTAGGACAACTCAGAGGACAGCAGTAAGAGCCGCAGATAATCAGTACCAAGGAGCATATCTGAACCCATTCAAAGAACTGATGACATGTACCCAACTGAATTTCAAAATTGCAATTGACCAATTACTGCTATATGTCTTCCATTTTCCTCCTAAAATGGGACTATCATAGTTTTCCTGTCTCTGCCTCACCAATGTATATTGGGCATGTGGGAGCAGACTACTTGATTCTTTAATTCATATGTCTTCAGAGAAGAGAACCAAACCTGAGGAGCCTCTTCTGAACCTGGACCTAATTTAGATGATGAAATCCTGAACTTTCAAGCTTAATTCCATAATGGGATAAGATCTTGGGAGTCTTAAGAGAGGGTAAATGTATTTTACGAGGGGGAAGAATATAAGTAATGTGTGGCCAAAAAGACTGAGGTGGATCAAAAATGGCTGCACATTCTTTGACACTATAGAGAAGTGGAGTGTTTTTTTTTTTTTTTTTTCTCCCCTTGAATCTGGACTGATCCTGTGTCTGTTTAACCAACAGAATATGGAGGAAGTGCTAACTATGCCACTTCTTGGTCTAGCCTTTAAGAGATGGAAAGCTTTCAATTCTTCTCATGATGTTCCCTCTGAGAACCCAGCCAGGATGCTGTGAGAAGCCCAAGTTATATGAAAGGAGGCCACATGTAGAGGCCAAGTATAGGTGCCATGGTACACAGACCAGTTGAGTTCCCAGTGACAAACAGCATCAACTTCCAGCCATGTAAGTGAGTCATCTTGGGCATTCCATCTCAATTGAGCCGCCATCTCCAGCCAACATCATGTGGAGCAGAACTCTTCAGTCAATTCACAATATTGTGAGACTTAATAAAATAATTGCTGTTTTAAGTCACTTAAGTTTTAAGGTAGTTTGTTAGAAGCAATAGATAATCAAAACTATAATTATTCCAGAAGCATTAATTGAATATCAAAATTCCTAATTGTTATTTCCCTAGGTAAATCTTTGTTGTTCTCTTCATGTTTGTACAACTCATTTTTTCATGTAAATCTCTCCCTCTGTTTTTAAAATCATTGTCACGTATTTTGTTATTTTCAAGTCACTTAGACATTTGCTGAAAACTACTAATATTTTTGTATTAATATAATTTATAATATACTTAATATTATATTTAAATATATTTTTATAACTGGCCTTCTTACAAAACTCTAAATTGATAAAATAGTTTTGAGGCTGAGTCTCTTGAATTTTCTAGTTAGAAAATTATCATTTGCAAATAATAGCTTTCTCTTCTCTTTTCTAATAATTAAATTTCTCATTTCTGTTTTATGTGTTTTTCTATCATTAGTTAAGTATTTCAGGTCAGTATTAAATAACTGTGGTAATAGGCATACTTAGCTGTTGATTTTGGTGGCAATAATATTGCCACTAAATTGCCTCATAATGCATGCGAAAGCTGGACAATGAATGAGGAAGACCGAAGAAGAATTGATGCCTTTGAATTATGGTGTCGGCGATAAATATTGAATACACCACGGGCTGCCAGAAGAACAAACAAATCTGTCTTGGAAGAAGTACAACCAGAATACTCATTAGAAGTGAGAATGGTGAGACCTCATCTCACATACTTTGGACATGTTATCACGAGGGACCAGTCCCTGGAGAAGGACATCATGCTTGGTAGAGTAGAGGGTCAGCAAAAAAGAGGAAGACCCTCAATGAGATAGGCTGACACAGTGGCTGCAACAATGGGCTCAAGCATAACTATCGTGAGGATGGTGCAGGACCAGGCTGTGTTTCGTTCTGTTGTACATAGTGTCACGATGAGTTGGAACCCAGTCGACGACACCTAACAACAACGTTGTTATAGCTTTACATATGATATTAACCCATGATTTGTTCTCACTAAACAGATTTTAAATCATTGACTTATGCCTGTCCACTAATTCCAAATTCACAGACTGTGCTTTATCTTACTAGTTATATAAGAATTTTTTTCCTGCCTCTAACCTAAAACAAGAATGAACTCTTTACACCTTAGTTTATAACCCTAATCCTGGGTCTCTGCCTACTTCTCTCCTGGAGATCAGCCCATGCCAAACCATCTCTGCCTTCCTTTGGCCTCTCTGACAAACTCCAGTGACTTACCTGTATTTACTGATTAAAATCTATAGGTTTTAACTAGTTAACCAAAGCTCTCCAAAATTTGGCTTTATATTCTCTATCCAAATTAACCTTCTACTGTCTCTAACACACTTACATCATTAGTTCTTAAATCTGGTTGTGCATCTGAATCATTTGGTGAGTCTTTAAAGTATGTGCACGTGTGTTCTCCTGGGTGCTCCAGAAGATTCTGATTCAGTAGTCTAGCTTCCAGCTTGGGTATTGTACAGACAAATGATAGTTTCTGCTAGAAATTAGACTAAACCAGGTTTAACTGGTATGTACTTGACAAAGTTGGAGGTATCGTGAGAGCTACTTTGAAGTGAAAGTCATTTTCATAAAATAAAATAATAGTATTTAAACACAGATTAGATATGAGAGATGAAGGACAATGGTTGCTCAATCTCTTCATGAGCTTTAGTATAAATATTAAAAGAAAAATCACTAACTAGAGAAAACTAAGGACATCGAATGAAATTCCACATAGAAAGTGATAACCGAAATCTCTCGTTTATTTAGTTGGAGAAAAATAGGACACTTAGTGGAGGTTCTGGAGACTGGTGAAAACAAAGAACAGTAGTATATGTGAGAACTCAAAGCTGAGAATGTTACTTGGGTATCAATAAAGAGTCGAGGACAGAATCACTAATCATACATGCAGTTATGTGGAAAAAAAGAAAGGGAAGTCAGTAAAATTTAACTTTCAAAATTGTTGGAGAGGTACAGAGTAGAAGCTGATAAAACAAAGAAACTGAAGACAAAGTAAAAGAGGACCCAGTCTTAATCAGAACAGGTGAAGTTTTGAATCCTAGGAAATTCAGTGGAAAAATACAGCATAAATGTTAGAATTTTGTGATTTTGAGCCCAGAACAAAGATGGTTTCCCTCCTACCTTATTTCACTATTCTTGTTGCCTTCATTAAGTACAGGGAATAATTGCAGTTGGATGGAGAATAAGGACACTATTATTACAAATTTTCTTTTAACTGGTTAAGATATGTTGCCTGGGAACATAGACATATTCCTAAAGATATGATTAAATTGGTATTTTAGGAGAGCTTATTTATTATTGGTGAACAACTTGGGTTAAAAGAGAAAGGAAGATTAGGTAGAACCGTCAATGACTAGTCATGAAGTAGTGATAGCTTAAACTGTGATGTGCCACACCATCCCAGTTTATATGCTGATATTTTACCAAAGCCATATGTCCTCTCTTTAGTATTTTTAAGTAGTGCTTTTCATATTCTATGATCTCCCAACCCCCTTTATAACATTTTTATTTCATTTAGTTCTTCTGCCAGTTGCCTCATATTTTCATTCTGTACTGAAGACTGGTAAAACCTGCATATACCCTTAAATAGTTTAACTCCCTTTCCAAATTAAGCACTTTTTCTTTTTCTAGTTCATGGGATTTTTTCTTTTTAGACAGGGAGACTATTTCAGAAAACCAAGATTCAATTCCAAAGCAGAGGATTTCCGGAGAAGAATCATCCCATGAAGTGATTATGACAAGTAGACTCTCTTCCTTAGATGCCTGGAAAGATGATAGTTGCTTATACAGAAACCAGGAAAGTCAGGACATATATTTGCCACAAGAAACTTTCATTCAGAAGGCAATCCACACTGAGGAGAGAGACTTTAAATGTGCTGAATATGAGAAAAGCTTTAATGTTAAGTCATTTAACTCTATTTGTGATATACAACAGGGAATGCCTATGAGAAAGGGATTCCCAAAGTGTAACAAATTTAAAACCAACTTCAAATTTAATTTAGACTCAATAGGTAAGCAACATTCAGAATATAATGAATGTGGGAATACCTCGAACCAGAGTACAGATACTATTCAACACCAAGAAACTCATACCACCATGAATTCCTATGAATGTTATCAATGTGGGAAAGCCTTCAGCCGGAGTTCATCCCTTATTCGACATCAGGTCATTCACACAGGAGAAAAACCATATAAATGCAGTGAATGTGGGAGATTCTTCAACCGACGTACAAACCTTAATAGACATCAGAAAATTCATACTGAAGCAAAGATCTATGAAAGTAATGGATGTGGAAACACCTTCAGTAAGAATGAAGATGGTGAAAATCAAATACTCCGTTCTGGAAATAATCCCTATGAATGTGTTGACTGTGGAAAATCCTTCAACCGGAGCTCCTCCCTTATTCGACATCAAATGATTCATACAGGAGATAAATCATTCAAATGTAAGGAGTGTGAGAAAACCTTTTTCAGGAGACCAAACCTTATTAAACACCAAAAACTTCATGTTTGAGAGAAGTACTGTAAAAGGAAGAAATGCAAGATTAGTCAGAGTACAGAACTCATTGAACTTCCACATATTCGTGCTGGAACGAATCCCATGAGTATACAGAATGTAAAAAAATGTTTGCCAGAGATAATTATTTAATTGATGTGATAATTAATATTGGAGAGAAGTCTGTTATGGGACAGAATTCTGTTTGAGAAGCTATACCAGGCTCCCAAATGAAGACACAAGGGTCTGCAGTTAAAACGTACCACCACACAAGTTTTTGTTATTATTCTTATATCCATTATCCTCACTTTTCCCTAATTGACACATGGGATCTATATTATATTCATCTGATCTATTGATGAAATAGACATTAGGGAGAAGCCAAGCAATACCCTAAGAATTGATATTTAATAAAACTCAAACTTTCAGTCCTTTATAAAAAAAGTCACAAGAAACCAGGAGTTTATGAGAACATAGAAGGACACTTCTAAGGACTGATCCACAGTGCCAGCCAATTACTCCACCCCTGATTATATCCTTGGTTGTCCCAGTACTAGGTGGAGACTAGAACTGGGAAAGTGTTGTCAACTGCAATGGAAGATAGATGTATTGTTTCTGTTTATCTATATGTATTCTTTAAAAACTTCATTAAAAAAAAAAAAAAGTACTCTTTTGAGATCTAGGCTGGAGAGGCATACATAGCCTGAGGTATATCATTTATCCCAGACAGTATAAGGCCAATAAAGTGTCCTAATACTCTGTGCAATAGAACTGCCTCTTCTCTAGGCTACCTCAGGATCCCAAAGGGGTCTTGATCCAAGAAGCTTGCTGTAATCTACCCAAAAAGACTCATACTGGAGACATTCCCATTGAATGAAGGCGGTGGCTTTCAGTCAGAGTTCATACCTTATTCAAAAGCAAAAAAATGTATATTGGAGTGAAACCCTAAGAGTTAATAAATGTGGAAAATTATTCTGTGTTCATTTTTTCATCCTTTACATGATGAATTGTATTAGGACAAAACCCTACACAAATAATTAATATGGAAATTCATATAAACAGAAGGCAAATTTTAGTGGGTTCTAACAAGGGAAAAGCATTCTGTAAGAAATTCTTCAGGTATAGTTCAGTCATCATCAAAGCACTTATATTGAAATGTTAAATATGGTGGATTCTGAGGGCATTTTCATTTTAAGTATTCTGAGTCTAATATTTCACTTTATTAACTGTGATTTTATCAGCTGTGTGGTGGAGGGAACAAATATTAGAGAGGAGAGATGATAAAAATCTAAAACTACAAAGCTGCAGAAGGATGTGGGCATGCATGTTCAGGAAACAAGTTCACTGGCTGGAACGTGATATGGGGAAAGAATAGAGCAGGAATACACAGAAACGAAGCTATAGGGAGACTTGAGGGCTAGATCATGAAAGATCTTGTATGTCTTAGAAGTTTGGACTTTATCCTAAAGGTAGTAGCAAAAGAGAATTCTTGTCACTGCCACAATTAGTGCTCTGCAAGTGCCAACTGAAATAATGAGACAAGGAAAATAAATGAAAATTCGGAAGGAAAAAATAATCATTTGCTGCTGATATGGTTGTCCATCAGAATAACCTAATAAAATCAATGGAAAAACTGTTATATTTGAAAAATAATTTCAGATACATTACATACACCCCACTTCCCTCAAAAAATTTCCAGAATGGAAATAAATGTTTCTGAACAGGGAGAATATTGTAGGGATGTTGAGTCTCCCCACATTATTAAAAAAAAAAAAAACTAATCAAGTATTCAGTGGGCAGAATTTTTATTTTGCAGAGTGATTATAAAGTTTATTTGTAGTAGTAACATGTTAAAATAGCTATAACATTTTTAAAAACAAGGGTTAAAATGATACCCTTGCTATACTAGTAATATAGTGTAGTACTAGCCTCTGAATTGATATCCCTCGGACAGAATTGATTATAATTAGACCTAGGTGTTTATAAGAATTTAGCATATCATGAATTGTCACTTCAAGTGTGGAAAGAGAATAGCTAATTCACTATTTACATGTATATCATATGCAGTTGTATTACGTATATAAATATTATATACTGAATATTATATAAATATAGTATGGGAATATTTAAAAAGGTGTGGTCAGAGTTTAGGGAAACTACAATAAACCGGGCAGTACTCCAGAGCTAGTAACAAGTGGATGTTTCATCCCTAGGCCTGAAGGGGCAAGAGGAAGGAGCCATTACCAGAAACTAGAAGGAAAAAGTCATGTAGAGAGGGCACTCTGGTAAGAGCTATGACCTTAGATCTAGGAAAGCAGTCAAAGTCAGCCTTCCAGTCTCCTGTGCGGATCTCCCACTAGCCAAACCCAGTCAAAGCCAGAGGCAAAGGAGCCCATTGATGCAGTCCATTCAGGTCAGTCTCCCAGAGTAGAGAATGGAGGAGAATGAATCTAGAAATGCAAACAGAAGCTACCTGATACAGCATCCAGACTGATCTGATAAGGGACTCTTAGTGAATCTCATTTCTCCTGGATATAGCTATGATTTACGTCCTTGGAAGTCCAGCTCCCCTTTTTGGACTGATTTCTGTACCCTATTTCGTTATCTACAGCATAAGTGGAAGCGATTTTTAAAGTTGGCATGCTCATCCCACTTAGTAATGCTTGGTTTCTTTATCTTGCAGTGTAAGTCAGTGGTTCTGAAAGTTTGGTCCCAGACCAGCAGCATCAACATCTTTTGGGATTTGTTAGAAATACCAAGCAATTATTTGGGCCTAGCCCAGACCTAATTAAGCAGAAAGTCTGGGAGGGCTTAATGCTTTAATAAGTAATTCTGATGCATGATTAAGTTTGAGAACCTCTGGTCTAATCTAACATACGGGCCTAACATTACAAGGGGTTATGATAGCAGGTTTCATCATCTTAAGTCTGCCTTATGTCAGCTCTCAGCTGGAGTCTATATTTTTCCTGTTTCAAATTACATGTCTTGTTAAGTCCATGTTTCTTAGGGGCCTTTGTTCTCAGTTTATCTTCAGAGAGAAACAATAAATATTTCAGGATCTAATGACTGATTATGCACTTCTAGAATCAAATCAACAGCTCTACCCATTTTCTTAACGCTCTTTATTTCTGGTCTATTCACCCACCTTTCCTGGGCCTGGTCTAATTTAAAGATTTTTTAAACATGCATTTAATTAATGAGCTGAACTGAAAAAACTTACAAAACTCAACCCTGTTCTATAAAGTTAGGCTGTATAGTCTTTGAACATAAGGATGCTTATTGGATCAATGTTCAACTTTTTCCAAATTGGGAGAGAATAAGTCTTTAAATAGCTATATATGTATATGAGTAGGGTTTTTGTATTGTTTTGTTTTGTTTTTCTCCCTTCAGATTTAAGCCAGTTATTTTTCTGTCATCAACAGAGTCTAGTTTCTATCCAGTCTGTACTGGTATCATTCAGAGTCTTTTTTCTGCTAACTACCAGAAACAAGGAAATAATTTGTCCAAGAGATAGTATTGGGGTAAAAAACAGTAAAACCCCATAAGAGCAATTGACAATACTGCACATTTTTGGCATCAGGATAGGACCTAAAAATGCCTCAGGTAAGAGTAGATACAACATATTTAGAGAAAAAAAATTAAGTGTTGATGAAAATAGTAGTCAAAAAAGCAGTATAGCATGGTAGTTAAGCACTCTTATTCTAAATTCAGATTGCTGAGTTTGAATCTCAGCTTTGCCATTTTCTAGCTGTGCGAACTTCAGAAAATTACTTAACATCTCTATCTCGGTTTCCTTATACTAAAATGGGATAATAGTACCTACCTCATGAGGCTGTTTGAAGACTAAATGAGATAAAATATGTAAAGCTCTTAGCACATAAGAAGCAGTTAATGATAGCTTTTAATAAAGAACTACAAGATGTACAAAAGTAGAAAGATGTGTGTAATAAAAGTATAAAAGAAAACTCTAGAAAAAATATTTGCAGGAAATATGATAGGGAATACATGTCTATATTTTATTAGGGTTAATACAAAGTAATGAAAAATAATTAGGGCCTGGATACTTAGATGCGCAAAGATATAAAGAGAAAATTCACCCAGTATTAAGTATTTTAGTTAGAACTCTGATTATGATCAGAACTGATATTCGGCTGGTACTCACTAGTAAGGCTGTCCCAATTTCTAAACACATCCAAACAGTTGAACAGTTGACTAATACAAAGCTACTAACTCCCAGTTACCCCCTCTATACCTACCTCCTCTGACCCACCTCCAGTAACTCTTGGATATCCCCCTGTTAACCCATTGCTGTAGAACTGATTCCAACTCATAGCAACCCTATCCAAACCAAAAACTAAACCTGACTCATAGCAATTCTATAGGACAGAGTAGAATTGCCCCATAGGGTTTCCAAGGCTGTAAATCTTTATGGAAGCAGACTGACCCATCTTTCTCCCATGGAGTGGCTAGTGGGTTCCAACCTCTGACCTTTCCGTTAGCATATGAGTGCTTAACCACTGTGGCACCAAGACTCCTTCCTGGATACCCCCATAACCTAGCAAATAAAGGGGCCTCAAGGATGTGGGACCATGCTTCAGTGCTACATGTGGCATCCATTCTCATTGGTTAGTCTTATTTTTTATTATTATTATTTTTTAAATCTCACCCCTAATAGGAAGCAAAAGAAACTAGTTTTACCTAGATTAAGCAAAAACTGGAAAGTTATTATATAGGTACATGGATGGCTCCTATGAGCAGAAACACATCTAAGCTTCTGGTGTGACTGGAACAGGGACTGAGAATGGAAAACCTAAGTAATAGTCTCTCCACTTTTTGCCTCTACTTCCTTCTGTGTGCTTCATTCTTCTCTTGCAAATTGGCTGCCCCTGTCCCCCATGACCAAGTTTATAAGTTACAGAAAAAGCCACACAAAAGAATCTTTCAGTCTTAATTCCAAATTGCTAAGGAAGGGACACCAATTGCTCAACTTAGTACAAATTCTCACCTCTGGTCCAAACAAG